ACACACACATTCAATGCTGCATATCCTGATCGCAATTTTATTTCTAAATTCACCGTTCAGAAGACAGTGAAACGTTTTTACGAAACAGAAACAGTTAAAGACCAAAATCCTTTTAAGCCTCACAACTCTAAATATGCCTAATAAAAAAATACTTTATTATAGGTTTTTGGAAAGCCCTTGAAATAAGCTACAAGAATATGTAATAAAAAGTGGGGGTTCAGTTTAAAAAATTCAATTTGACCTTCGTATGACCTTCGTCCTCCATCCAAAGTCAAATTTTTAGCCATCATTAGGTACATTTTATTAAGCCCTACAACTTTGCTACTTACATATTTTTCGCTACAGTTGATCCTTTTCGAGATATTTCACCGTTTCCAGACTTTTTGCCAACCCTTTATACACACACACACACACACACACACACACACACACACACATAGTTACAAATAAAAAATGTGTTTATTTATAAAAATAAAAATTATTAGGGAAAAAAATATTTTGATAATAATTTAACAGATCGATGATACAATCCTGAGGTCGAACATCTCACGCAGACTAGCCGTCGAGCGGGGAGCGGCTGCGGGGGAAATAGTAGGCATTATTTCTGAAATCTGCCCGAAATGTGGAAATAATTCCAGGCACTAGTATAAACTGTTAATTAAAATAATAAATAATATATGTGTTTTATTATATTTTAATTATAAAATATATTAAAAATAACAAACTTGTCTTCTTCGTAATCTTGAAGATATTACGTTGAATTTTGATTTGGGATCACAATTAAAGGAAAATATGCCGTATATTAATGCAATGATGAGGTATGATTCCCTTCAGATCATAAATTTTTATAATTATTGTGCGCTATACTTAAGAATAGATCTAATTTAATGCAATGTTTAATTGTAGATTGACAGAAATATTCACGCACAGAATGCGAAATATATTTTTATTTCCTGATATTATATTTAATTTTACATCTCTAAGCCGCGAACAACAGAGGCTTTTAAATGTTATACATTCTACTGCGGAAGAGGTAGATATTGTAAATACATTTTCTGATGATGTTACACGATTTGCACGTTACATGATTTATTACTGTGCAGGTAATACAACAAAAGGAAAACGCAAGAAATAATTTAGTTGGAAATAAAAATCAATCCGCTAAACCTTGTAAGTTGTCAACATTTCTTCTATATATTTTTGCAGTTATATGATATATTTATGCAGTTAATGTTATAATGTGTGTGTGTGAAAATTGCACGAAAATAAACTATATGTTATATTTTAAAATAATTGGACATACAAGGGAATATTTTCTCCCTTTTTAATTTACAACACGTTATTTATACAAACATAACTGCATCCATTGGATGTGCATATAAATATGTAAAAAATTTTTATTATTAAAAATATGAACAAGTAAATTCACGTGCAACACATCCAATTCTAGCCAATGGACAAATTTATTTTTTAGAAATATATTTTGTTTATTTTTTGTTCAAATAAAAAATAGCAAGAAGAGTATATCTTGATATACTAATGGAAGCATCTGACAACGGCAAGAAATTAACTCGAAAAGAGATTATAGATGAAATCAATACGATAATTGTTACCGTACGTATGAGGCGCCTTTTGAAACGAATATTTGTCCGTAATATATTAATATAATTATAAAATTGTTAAACTAAGTTTTCATTTACGCAGGGTTTCGACACAGTCGCAAATGCATTAAATTTTCTGATGTTCATATTAGCAAATTTCCAAGAAGTACAAGTATGTATTTTACATGTATTGCATAACTTTAAACATAAATTGGTTCTTTTGGTGATATTGAAATGTCTAAAGTTTACTAAAAAGTTAAAAAAGTGCATTTATCATACTTTTAATATGTAGTTTCTTCCCGAGCAAAAATATACCTAGTAGAGCAGATTTCAAAACTAGTAGTTAGATAGTAATGACTAGATAAGTTTTTTAGCCAGTCACTAGCTCGTGACTGGCTAAATATTCTTACTCAGTCTTTTAAATGTCAGGACTGTCTAGTAACTATACCAATTATATAAATAGCGGCTAAATGGAAAATATTACATAGAAACGAGATAGAAAATCATCGGTAAATCCTGAATAGAAATTGGATATCAGAATTGGATATCAGAAATTGAATGTCTAGTAACTATACGAATTATATAGACAGTGGTTAGACAAATAAAATTATACAGTAACGAGATAGAAAATCATCGGTAAATCCTGAATAGAAATTGGATATCAGAATTGGATATCAGAAATTGAATGTCTAGTAACTATACGAATTATATAGACAGTGGTTAGACAAATAAAATTATACAGTAACGAGATAGAAAATCATCGGTAACTCTTGAATAGAAAATGGAAGTCAGAACTATCTAGTACTTACACCAATTACATAAACAGTGATTAGATAAAAAGGATTACCTAGTAACGAGATAAAAAAATCATCGATATATCCTGAGTAGAGATTGGACATCAGAACTGTCTAGTAGATATATCATTTACATAGACAGTGCTTAGATGAAAAAGATTACACAATAACGAGATAGAAAATCATCGATAAATCCTGAATAGAAATTGGATATCAGAACTGTCTACCCACTAGATAGTAAATTTATGTATAGATAATGACGATGTAATACACAAATTTAATATCTGTCTATCTGGATAGACAGTTTTGATATCTAATTTTCATTCTGGATTTACAGTACATTGCTACTAAACAGTTACTAGACAGCGTTTGATATTCAATTTCTATTCAGGATTTACTGAATCTTCCATCTCGTCACTGTGTAATTTTTTTCATCTAGATATTAGATAAAACGGCGTTGAATAAACCATATGTAGCTAATATAAAATGTTTACTACCGATTATAGTAGTGGTCTAGCGGGTAAAATGCCAGACTCAAGAGCCAGAGGTCTTCATGTTGAAGTCCCGAAGTATAAAATGAATTCTTCCAATAGAATGGAAATAATACGTAATGAAGAAGAATTACAGGAAACCAAACTCCATTGGATCACCTCTCCTAAAGAGAGAGAGAGAGAGAGAGAGAGAGAGAAAGGGAAATTATTGAAGAGAAATAATTTTTTTCGTTTTTGCTATTTATTTACTGTCTAGTGCAGGCTAGATAGTTATAAGTTATTTC